ACAATATCTATAGCAAGCTTTAAAGAGATCCATAATGTATAGTTAAGTGTGATTTTTTTTTCCAGGCTTAGAGATAAAATGGGTAGATGCAGAATTCCCATTTACCCATCCATCTTGGGAATTGGAGATAAAATTTCAGGGGGAATGGCTGGAAGTTCTTGGATGTGGAATCATGGAACAGGAGATCATAAGCTCAGGTGAGCTAATGGAACACAATTATTGCTTGGGGATAGGTTTCGTAGTTTATAATTTTGCATAGTTATTGAGCATATTTAAGCATGTACTTTTACATACATTGATTCTTTCAAATTTATCCTTTATTTAAAATGAACTTGTTGCCTCTTCTTTGGTGTAGACAGTTGGCACATTAGCCTAGAGTCTGCCCATACATACACACATTTATAAATTCAAAATTGTTTAATAAAATAAGTATCGAACATTGTGTCATGTTCGCATCATCATACATACAAATGAGAAGAGTCATATACATTCTCCCAGGTATTTGCTATTTAATTATCACGCCAGTTGTGAAATAATAAAAAACCCATATACCGTATTCATTCAAATATATGCCCCGGCTGCTTATACTTGAGAAGGGTTTATTAATGGGGGTTTATTCAAGGATGGCTTTTATTTTTTTAGATGTAAAATGGATAAATAAAAGCCCCTAATTTCACTGTAAATATGTTACTACAACACGTAATTACTGTCAAAATGTGTTACCGTATTATTCCGTGATGACAGTTGGTAATAAAATGGTTGGTTGCAGGAGTGCAAGATCATAAAAACTGACTGATCCCAGCCAGGTTGGAAAAAATGTAGTTATACTGGAATAGAACATTAATAAAATGTGTTGAGAATGATTTTCCTTCCATTTGATTTGTTTACTATAATTTAGGCTTTTGATGCACCTTAGCTGACATGCAGCTTACACACTTCCATTAAGCCCTCTTCTGTGCAACTACACTGTTTCTGTGTTCTGTGACACAGTTGATAATAAAATATGAATTTGCGGGTGATGGGTTTTTTCCAGGAGGTTCTTGCTTGCTTGCAGGGGTGCAAGAGGCCGTCCCAATTTCCAGAGAGACTTGGGACACTGGCATGTGTACATCATGACACTGTTAAATTAACATGTAGGATGTGATGGTTTAACTTACAGCTATTAATGGCCAAAAGATAGGCTATGCATTTGGACTAGGACTGGAGCGGCTAGCAATGATCCTTTTTGACATACCACACATCAAACTCTTCTGGACTGAAGACGAACGCTTTCTAAATCAGTTTAAGGCAAAAGATATTTGCAGTATTAAATTCCAGGTAAATTATTTTAAATTTTCGCATTTTTTATATGAAATAGAAAGCATTGGAAAAATCAGCATCTGAATTTGGTCATGATCTTTGCTGTGTAAATACATCAACTGGTATTTAATAGGCTTCTTGACACCTGGAATTTTGCTTATAAGTGTGGTGCTGTGTGTTGGAATTGTAGGACAGCTGTGCACCTTGTTATTTTATTGAGCTATTTTCATTCATTATCAAGTACTGTATACTGCACATAAAAAAAATATATTGGAATGCCTCCATTTTTTTGTTTTTTTTTTTGTTTTTGTTTTTTGCATTCAATTAAACCTAATTACATTTTCCAAAAAAACTATGTTTTTGACCTATGTACTGCAGAACTTTTTCATCAGAAAAACCATTATTGGAAAAAGCTTTTCCCCAGCTAATAAATATCTCTTGAGCAATTTTTAACTTCTTCATTAAAGAATATCTTTTCCACATTCTAGAGTGGAGTTGCGTCGCCTAGTGGTTAAGATGTTTTCCTTCTAATTCCAGGGTCCTGGGTTCAACCCCTGTCACAACAGGACTTTTTCTCACTACTAAAAACAACTCCACTCCCTAGGACAACCATCATCACCATCATCATCACCATCACCATCATCATCGTCATTACTATTATTATTATTATTAAACAAAACTTTATAAAAACACAAAAGCTTGCAAAAGGATAAAAACGAAACTGATTTTTGTTAAATAAGTGTGATAAATCCACCGTCTAAGCGGTAAAGCCGCTCGGGGTTGTTAATTTTTGCATTATCATTTATAGTGAATAATTGATTATTAATGAATATTCCACTGGGTTACTATCAGCGTATCATCCAGGATTCCGTCGTGCCCAGGATCAGGTCAGAATGATCATCTACTGGCCTAACATAGATGATGACATTAGGCAAAACATTAATAATTGCAAATATTGTCAGAACCGCCTTCCTATGCATAAAAAAAAAGATTTGATACAGAAGCCACAACCGAGCCGCCCATTTCAAGATGTTGCAGCCGACTTTGCGCACTTGAATGGACTTGATTATCTTATCGTTATTTGTTGTAAAACTCCAATGGGTAAAGGCACAACTTCCGATGCCACTGCATTCAAGCTCCGAGACCTATTTATCATGATGATGGCGCCTGATATCTTCCGGTGTGACGGTAACTTCAAGAAAAAAGACTAGGAATTTACTATCAAGTATAGCTTGCCTTATTACCCACAGTCAAATGTCAAAGCTGAATCCACGGTAAAATTTATGAAAAAAATTGTAGCATCAGCCTCGCTAAATAGACAAACCCCTGATGCCGATGGGTTAGCGAAAGCTCTCCTTAGCTATAGGAATACACCTTCACGGAAGGGTGGCCTGTCTCTTGCAGTCAAGTTATTTGGCAAACCCATACAAGATTCATTGCCAAGCTCATACTAAACGTCGTCCAAGCAGATGTCATAAGAGACTGCGTAAATTTGATGAATTTCGTATGGACTCAGTTTGTTTGGACACTAAAAAAGATACTTTGCCTAATATAATTATGCCAAATATCTTAAAGGGGAGGTGTAAGGCTGTTGTATTATGGTCTACCACCCTCTGTATATGGCCATAAGGTCAAAATAAGCATGTTGTTGGGTATAGGCCAACACCTTTGTTGTGAGGCAGACATATTGCATGTTGTTGTGAGTTGCAGTTTGAATTACAATACTGTTGTTGCAAACCGGTCAGATTATCTTCCTTACATGGTGCTGCAAGCTAAACCTGTCCTACATCTTATTGAACTGTGAGTATGGAGCAGCAGGACTTTTATTGATGGACATTTATGGTGGGTTTCTATCAGAGCACAGGTCACAAACTGAAATTTGTACCGTATTTAAATCAATACCAAATGCTGTGATTGTGTGTGGAAAAATCTTTTGGCACTTTGTTCATAAGAGCGAGACCATTCAGTCATTCTTGTGAGGTGCGGTTTGGAAGGTATGTCTTCAGTTGCCTTAAAGTTGAGAAAGAATGTTACACCGTTTCTGTTGAAACAGGCAAAATGCTTGCAATTTGAAGGAGAATAGGAGCTTGAATAGTTGGATAAATGGAAACATTGTGAAGTTTTACAGTAGCTATGTGGTCAGTTGTAGACTTTTTATCAAATTCAAGCTTTCACTTGCAGACCCACTGTCTGTACTCTGCGACTACTTTCATTACACTTGTACATCTAATGTTGTTAGCAGTCATGTCTGAGTATATCTTTTAGAGAGTTTGTCTGATTCTCCATATTTGTGGAAGTAAAATATCAAAAATATCAGCTATATTCGATTTATCAATTTATTAACCAAAACTTGAGTTGAGCTAGAATAGTATGAATGAAAGGAATGTACACAGCTACTCGGAAATAATCAAATCTAGATGAAACATCAGTCTGGATTGCTTTGGTAACAGGACCTACTGTACAAAATCTTGATGGGGTTATCTCTAGTTTTAGACAGGCCACGGTGTCATTAATCCATTATGGTGGTGAATATAATCTTTGAAGTTTACGGTCATTGTCTAATGTCGCAATTATATCCTAAACATGGCTTCCGCAAGCTAGTGTTTTTTTCTGAACATTTTTCAACAAGTTGTCAAAAATGTTCATTACTGCCACACAACTGAATAAGGTTACTACAAAAGTGCTGTTTGTAAGTGCATCTGTGCGTGTCTATTGGTTGCCATCACCAATTACGATGTAATTCATAACAAATCTCTCCAGAGCTGTCAGCCGTTTTAATAGTAAACCACACTGACCTTGAGCCATATCTGCAGCTTCAGCAAGAATCGCCTTCTTTTTATTACTCTTAAAATCTTGTCACTTCTTTCAATCGTATCATATTTCTCACAACTGGAATCTTCGAAAAAGTTATAATATATATTGATTGGCAACATGAGCACAACAACGTTAATAATCAGCCTGGATACAATGTTTTAACGTACGCACTATTAATGGTATTTGATATAGCGTATTTTCCAGAGAATACAAAGCACTGTGCGACTAACTGCCAACAGCAAACTCATTACTGTGGCACCATCGTAAATTTGGCCAATGCTGCCTCAAGATTCATGCCAGCATTCTCTAATACACGCACGATTGCCTTTCAAAATTCCTTCTGAGTCTTGAGTTTTCATTACATTTTTCCATATCTACTAGTGTTAGTTAAAGATAATAAATATTTGAGAAAAAACGTATGTCCCTATCAGGATTCAGACTAAAGATCATCCGATTACCAACTGAGCTATAAGGCCAAGTGGTATGCACCCTTGGATATACCCAATAGGACATATTTTGTCTCAAGGTATTGCATAATATGCAATGAATAATAGTAAAAATGAAAAATTCCACATTCAGAGTGTAAAATACATTTTCAATGCAGAATTTTCAACAGAATGATTTGGGTCCGCCACTTGCGCCACCAGTGGTTAGACATCGCATCATATCAGTTACCCCGCTTAATCCTCCCTCTCCCCCATGTCAATACTCTACGCCACTAGCACAGTGAGCTACACTTAAAAAAGCCAGCTAGTAGGTGGTGGTTTCTAATAACAGAAAACCTTTCTCTGTATGTATTGAAAATCGGCCAGATTTTTTTTTTTTAGCAATTATTACACAGGCCGTATCAAAATCTTTGGCAGGATGGGGTTTAAGTATCGGGGACCTAGTTTATTCATGTCAACGGTGTTCTGGAAGTGTGTGTGGCCGTTTAGGCTTGAATCTATGCAGACCATGTAGGTTGCTATTTATTCTGTTATTGTTTTAACCAATGATCATTTATCTTGTATTTTTTGTTTCAACCCCCTGGTCTTGTATAGTCTTGTCTTGTATTGTATGCCACCATTTTTCTTATTCTTTATTCTTTTTTTTATTTATAAGAACATAAAAAACATTCAGCTGTACAAGAGTGAAACGACTGAATTTACAATATTCATTGTGTATTACAC